AAAGGAAGAGTGGAACAAACTACCTGTCTGATGAAGCAGACGTCAAATTGTAAAAACATGTAGATTGATTCGTGGCATTGCATGTCTTAAATATAAATTTCAGGATAACTTTTTCCAAAAAGGAGTTGACATAAATCCCTTTTTTTCCCTATCATGTTCTTATTTGTTTAAAGTATAACTTGCTGTGATGTTAAAGCATAGCCCCAAGACAACTGTAGAAAAATGCCACCTAAGTGGTCAATCCCAGGAGACTCTGAGGGGCAGAGCTAAGTGGGAGGATTAGGGGTGGGGGTTCATTGAGTGGAGGTGTGGTCAGGATGAGGAAAAGTGACTCCGATCTTAATTTGAACCAGAGCCATAGAGACAGGAGAGTTCTAAAAACTCACTTAGTGACATTGGGCAACATTTCAAAGAGCAATAGCAATGCACAAAGCTTAAATAGTGCAAGGGAAGTTAGCTGCTTACGCTAGAAGTGTAATAAACATTAGTTAACCACAAGTAAACTATAGAAAAATAGACAACAGATCTTCAATTTCACATCAAGCTCTCTGCCTCTACCTAGTGTTAAGTAAAAATTATAGAAAAATGTGTTTGAGATAAATAAAACTATTTACTGCATGCAGTTAGACATAGTTTAATGCATATAACAAATAAAAATGTAAAGAGGTCTTTGTAAGACAATATCCACTTATACTTAGTACCTATTATGCTAGTGAGAAATTATATGTAAGTAGTCTTTCCTCCTGCATACAAAATGATAACACTATAAACATTACTTATGAGTCAACTAAACATGACTGAAACAGGCTCTATATTAAAGAAACACATTTCACATGGCTACAACAAAACAATATTATGGATTATAAGCCCTTAATCTGTAATTTTTCATAATGATTTTGTATTTTGTAAAGTAATTATCAGGAGTATTTGGTCTGTCACAGATCTGTGTGTTCCTGAAGGTGCCTGACTGTTTGATAACCCTGCAACCTAAATGTCCTGATCTTCTGGTGACACAACTCTCCTATCTCCAAGGCTCTGATTTGGCCTAATACAGCAGACTGATGCTGACAGTTGTGCCACAGATAGATCTTATTAGGTGGAGGAATTTTTTCAAGGGGGAAGCTTTGCGGAGCCTAGTGGGCCAGACCCTGAGCCGATGGCTCGAGGCGCTGACTCAGCGATTCCTAAAGCTGATGTTGCCAAAGCAGTGGAGGGAAGCATGCCTTGCTACGGGGCGTCTGAATGAGGCTCTTCTACACCCGAACACTGGGCTAGGATGATGTTCACATGTACTGTTAGGAAAATTCAACAGTAGCCGCTGTCCAATCCAATAGAGCATCAATAAGTCTGTTTTAAGATAACTATTTCAAAATGAAATATGGCTTTGTAAAAACAAAATGCAAATATTGAAATACAGGGTTTCCACGGGTCATTAAAAATCATGAAATCTCATTAAATTATAATTTTTTTAATTAAGGCCTTAATTGGCATTAAAATTCATTAATCTGTTTATTGTGGCATTTAAAATGATTTCTTTAAAAAAATTGTTTATAAAAACAATTTCGTCAAACAATTATATCACGATATATTTGTGTGGAACTGCTTGATCGCAGCCGTATGTTCAGAAAAAGCTAGAGAATGGGGGGAAAAAATGACAATTTCAACAAAAGTGGCTGGAAAGTGAGGAATTCGTGACATGGCTGCAGCCTGTTGACGGGTACCTGTTGGTGGCATTAAAATTATTTCTAAGAGCATTAAAAAGCATTAAGTTAGAGTTATTAATTCCTGTATAAACCCTGTTTTCGCACCTCTTAGGCCCAGTTTATACTGTTAATATGCAAAATAAATCATTTAATTATAATGATATTCAACTTTTACCTGTACCAAGAGAGAAAAACCTAAGTCTGATCAAAATAAAAAAGGGAGGATGAATAAAATGAGGTATTTTAAGGTAGAAAGGTGACAACATATTTGTCCGCTTGTATAAAACGCGTCCCAACAGGAGGCCCTGCTGAGACTTGTCAAAGCAAGACTCTACTTTATTGTTCCCTGTCATGAGGTCAATTCCATCTAGTTATGTCATCCACATTGTGCTCCAGGTCATGAGGCTGTATATCACCTCTGCTGTGTTTAAAATGAGAAATGTGTTGTTAGGCAACAACATCTCAGCTAAATAATCAGGTCATTGTTCTCTTCACCTTGTTCCCTCTCAGCAAGAGAGGTTGTATAAAACAAAGCCTGGAGATCAGCAGCGTCTCTTCAAAGGGGAACATGAAATGCTGTGTTTTTGGGTTTAATTTTCATTTGCCTTTTTCCTTAACATGCTGGGTAGTGGGATAATTCTGATCCTGTTTGCTTGCCTGTTTCTTTGGGGTACGTTTCTATGTTGTTGTTTCTTAGCTTACAACTAGTTCAGGAAAATCAAAAAAATCATCCAAGTATGAAGGCTGGACTATTGGTTAAACACTGTATCTGAAGTAATATCACTGTCTGTCTGTCAGCTCCCTTTTTAATGATATCTTTATTTTACTTGGACCCTTTCTTTATTACATTTATAAGGAAACAGTAGAATTCACCTGAAAGCTCCTCATATCTATTGTGTTTACATGTTTTTGTGCATGGATACTCTAATTTTTTTTTGTTTTCCTCTGGGTTTTGTGTGTGCGCCCACATGTGTGTGTGTAAAAGTGCATGCATGTTCTCAGTAATGGGCTTTGTGCATCTTCTCTTGCTGACGGCCGGGATGTATCCATGGCAACGGCAGGTCGATCCAGGCTGTAAGCGGAGCTGGTGAGAGGGACTTGAAAGGGAACGTTAAACCTCTCGTCTCATCCACCCCGTGCTCCTCTCTGACCATGGCGAAACGTCCATGGCCTTGTTGAAATCTGGGCCTGAGGGGTGCAGGCTGTGGCTGTGTCCAATGGCTTATGCAGCCTAACACAGCACTGCCACCTTTTGACCCAATGCAAAAGTGTTTATTTGCTGTTTTTGTTCAGATAAAACCAACCAATGAACAGACTTGTTCTTTCCATGTAGGTAGTGAGGATTTTGATTTAAATGGGTATTAATCAGAGGATAACCTATAGGTATAGGCAAAGAGGAATTATGATTAAAAGTGTTTAACCTTTGGACGTTTTTGAAAAGGCATTTCTTGATTAATTATTTTTCATCATTTTTGCGACATGCATGTTTTTTTCCCAAGTTTTGAAGAATGTATTTTTTTTTACTGAAAACTCCCATAGCTCTGATTGCTGAGTTTGAAGTAATCAAAGGCTTGCTCTATAGAGTTGGCAATTATTCCTTATTTTTCTACAGTTTACAAGTTCTATGTTTTATCAAGGTGTAATTTTAGCTCATTTGAACTCAGTTTTATTTTAGTCAGAACTTTCAAATGCTAAATCATAGGAAAGGTTACCACCCTGAGGGAAGGCTTCAGGATTAGATGTGCCGCTGTTGCCCCCTTGTGGATAAAAACATGCAAATGGAAGAAGAGTGAGAATGATGTAAAAGAAAAAGATAAAGAAATTTTACCATCTGACTTTTTTTGTCAGATGGTAAAATAAACTGTTTTTTTTCATAACTATGTGCATTAATCTATCTGTGCTGACATTGTGAAGTGAGATATTGTTAGAAAAAGGAAATCGAGGGACTTTGAGGGTCTCTTATCTGCAGGTTTTTCTTTCTAAGCTGTTTCACAATCCTCTCCATTGTTAAATACCCAGAATGTGGAAGCATGTGTTATCATTCATGCAGCTGAAGGCCCTGGGGCGTCAGCTCAGAAAGCCTGTGACCTTCTTATTAGGTCAGGCCGGATGCAAAGCGCTATCTGCTGATCACTAAATCATAACCAGTTTAGCAAACTGGTGAGTGAACTCCACGGTATTTAGTGATTAAGGCTAATTTTGGGAATGTTTTGTTTGTTCTGTGATAAACAGCCTTCACAGCTGCAGTAAAGCACATATTGACCAAAGCTGCAGCCATTCTCATCCGCTCACAAGAGTTTATCACCCTATTCTGAGAAAAAAAAAGTGGTTTGAATGATTAACAACATGCATTGGTCTAAGTAGTGCACTTTGTACTGGTGTTACAGGTTTAATATGGCTAATATTAATGTATCATATGCCATATTAGTTTTTTATTGTACAGGGTACAGCATTCCCTTTATATTTATCTAGAATTTCAAATTCTACCATCATCATGTTTCTGAAAATAATCTCACCTTGTCTAATGGAGCTGGATCAATACAGATGGATCGGTCTCATAAGTTTCATTTTCATAACCCAGTCAGCACCAGCACCTTTGGGAATCTGCATTCATCATCATATTCAATCATTTGAGGATCAATTTAAGATGTTTTCTTCTTCACTGCTTGTACATCTCTGCTTTCTCTTAATCTGTTTTGCAGAGAAGTGCTTGCAGCGATGTCGGGGTTATGTAATTTCAACTGGATCTGATGGTAAAACGAGCCATTAGATTCGAATAACATAGAGCAAATGAAACTGCTGATTACATTTTTGGAGTTTTTACATGCTGTTTGCTCCCTAATAGCTTTGCTCATGACCGGTCATCATGCTTGAACTTAATGCTCCCTTTTCCTGGATTGTCTTAAAGTTTATTACAAGATTAGGTCTTACTATGAAACATCTTTATTTTTATTTTCCTTTTTATATTCAAATCTAGCAGATTTTTTTATTTTTTTTCCACTTCAGTAATGCAAGTGTATCATACGGATCTGATTACACGACTGTGCTGAGATCGTTTCCTCTTCAAAGGATTAATGCAGAGTCGGAACATTAAAATCAGCAGAAATTTAGAAGCCTCTTTAGTGCTTTTGCAGCTCCAAACTCAGATTCCTATCTGTGTGTCAAGCCATTTTTTTCTTGTAAATGGTGAAACTCTGCCCCAGCTCAGTGACCTGTAGCTGGGCCTTATGGGGATATTCAGTGTCGTACTCAGCACCGCTGTCTCCCTTTCTTTCCTGTCTTCTCCTACTTCTCCCCCTCTTGTTTCTTCTATCTTTCTTCGTCTCTCTTTGGAAATCACTCTAAGGAATTGGTCTGCCCCCTGCTCACAAGGACAAATCCCTGTTTGGTGTAGGGAAGAGTCTTTGATTTGCTCATTTTCAGATGTTATTTGTCTTTGAATGCTTCCATTGTGAAAAACCATCTGACCTGAAAACTTGCAGACTTTGAACGAAAAGTTTTTTTGTTTTCCTTACCTGACAAATCTTTTGCTGAGGAACATTTTTGAGCACTTTTATCCAATCTTTAGTTGCTTCCTTATTGCTGAGTGTAACTCTGTTACCTGCTGCCACCATGCCGGTCCGGATCATGTGCACCATCTCTTTTTCCACCGATGACGAGCCCAGCAGAGGTTATGGCAAAGACGGTTTTGATGACTACTACAAGCGTATAAAGCAGGACTATAGCGAAGGGGGCTCTCAGGACTATCTGAACAGAAGTAATCAAGATGAAGATTACGCTGAAGATGAGGATGATCCCAGCGACGTGGACGACCTGGCCACTTTCTTTGGCGGCTGCTCGCTCCATGGAGCCAACCACATATTTGTTGAGGAGAAGAAGTTTGGTGTTCGTCAGGGTTTGTGGGCTGCGGTCTTCACGGTGGCGCTGTCTGCTTTCCTGTACCAGGTGGCTGACAGAGTCATCTACTATCGCCAATATGACCACATCACCATGCTGGATGAGAGGGTGGCCAATAACATGACCTTCCCTGCTATCACCATATGTAATTACAACTTCATTCGGAAGTCTCAGATGAGCTACAGTGACCTGATCTTCATGGGCCCCTTGCTGGGGTTTGAGGAAGGCATGGCTCCGGGGTTTCCACTGGCTCCCGAGCCGGACCGCCCGCTCGGGTCACGTTTCAGCCTCGATGAGTTCTTCAACCGCACCCGACATCGCATAGAGGATATGCTGCTGGAGTGCACCTTCAGGGGGTTGGAGTGTGGCACAGAGAACTTCAGAGAGGTAAATCACTGCAAGAAAAAGTTCTCTAAGCACTTTTATCTTTTTTATAGACCAAATATCCCACTTTAAATTCTCTTCACTTTTTAATTATCCTAACAAGTTATTATATATTTATATATTAAACTTTTATTTATATATCAACTTTATTAATATCAGATATTGGTCTAATATTAGCCAGAAATCTAATATCAGAATTTCGCAGCTTTTGTAAAAACTTCTGTAACTTACTAGTTAATTTTACGTGGTTTATTTTTTTTTTATATACCTTTTTTTTTTGACTTGTATTCTCTTGTTTAGTGATGTTAGTTGATCAAGCCTTTCCTAACATTCTACAGTATAAAATAAGTGATAAAAGCTGGTATGATTCTAGCTTATATCGTATCGGATCAATATCAGTATCGGCCAGTTCTCAAAGCTGCGATACCTGCATCTAATCAGAAATTAAAACGTTTTATCGGAACAGCCTTAATGTCTAACTGATATACGCTTCAGGAATTATAGGAAAAGCAAAATATTGGCTTTTATGCATGACTTCTGTGGTAGTTCCTGTGATAAAAAGAGTCTCTATCTCTTAAATCGACCATTAAAACAAACTGTGCAGTGTATTCCTGATCACTCTCACTCAGAATCATATTGTATTGATGCAGAGCCGTTCTTATTTATGTGAGGCCATCCGCTCAGAGTCTGAAGCCAACGCTATAAATCAAAATGTTTCTGAGAGTCAGCGTGTTTGCCCAAATGAAACTTGATTATAAATAATAAAAAAGCAGACACAAGCAGCATAACTTATGAATTTTGGCAAGCACTTATTGAATTAAATTGGTGTCGGGGGGGAATCACTCTGTGTTGTTCAGGAATCAGGAGGAGACTCTCAGCTCAGACTTGCAGCCTCCCAATTTATCTGAGTGATTATTTTTGTGTGGCTGCTGGCCTTTGTGTTGCTTTGCCTGTGCCCTTCGGACAGCACAAAGAAAATACTGATCTGCCGAGCAGTATTAGCGGTATCCATCTATCGGTCTGTCGATCTGCCTGACCTTTTCCCAGTTTTATGGATTGCTATGTGCAGACTGCTGATGAATCTACAAGAACCTCTTGAACTGCAATAGGATCGCTTCACACAGCTTTATCTCTGTAAACACAACAGAGGTAAAAAAACAAGCAAAACATGATACTTTCATGGGTTTGGGGTTGATTTTTTATTTTATTTTTTAACACAATATATATTCAGGTAAACTCACATTTCAATCAATCGATCAGTCAATCAATCTTTATTCTAAAAATAAAAAAGTCAGTTTCAGTACAAACCGTTCATCACAATACTTCACATACATCGGGGTGGGGAGGCTGAGAGCAGGAACGAATTTACTGAGGCCATGCGTGCTGCAGAACGCTGCTATTAACGTATTTTTTATCTTTGTGGAAATATAGAAGCCACATCGGGGAGGAGAGGGGGGAAAAAAAGCATACTTCACACTTTATCCTTGACAGGATACAGTTTGAAATATCAAAAAAACCTCAGCACAAGAAAAGCACATGTAACATGAGACAGACATTTCAGCAGAGGGTCACATCAGAGGCGGAGTCACATGAAGTCAATCTGACATTTGAGACATTTATTGTGTGTGTGATGAATGCCTTTAATATGTCCGTCAATGCTGAAGCAAATAAAAAAGTTAACGTATTTGTTCCTTTAATGTCAGAATCTGGATCTTGGTAATTTTACGTTTTTAGAACAATAGTTTACTTTACTGAATTTCGTTTTGTTTTTTTTACATTGGCCCCTTGATTTTACATTATTACATCATGTGCTACTCACCCATATGAGTTTTGTGTCATTTGGAGCCGTTCTGAAGATATTCAGTTAAATTATATCGATGTAACGTCTTCCTATGGGCAACGACTTGAAGGTACAAACTAAACTGTTCATAATTTATTCTTTATGGTACGCCAGCATTCATAACATGTAGGCAAATCACTGTCCCCCAGACATCCGCGGTTATATTTTTTATATTTATATATCATTGGTTAAATTTATTTCTTTTTTTTTTAAAACAAACAAAAAAAAACTCAAGTCCTCAGATGACGTCATACAAGCGCTGCTTTGTTTTTAAAACATATAAATATAAAAAACATAACTCCGGATGTCTGGGGGACAGTGATTCGCCTACATGCTATGAATGCTGGTGTACTATAAAGAATAAATTATGAACAGTTTAGTTTGTGCCTTCAAGTCCTTGCCCATAGGAAGACGTTACGTGGATATAACCTAACAGAATATCTTCAAAACAGCTCCAAATGACACAAAACTCATATGGGTGAGTAGAACATGATGTAATAACGTAAAATCAAGGGGCTAATGTAAAAAAAATGGCGTTCCCCTTTAATCCTTTTTACAGTTTTTTATGCTAAAACTAATTTAAGATTAATATCTTAAAAGAAATTGAAAAATAAAATGGATCAAACTAAATGGCTCTGATTCTATAAGATTAACATAATATAGCATCTTTCTCCTTCTGTGTATCAAGGTAGAAAGACTGCTGTGGAGAAAAAAACCCTGAATCTGTCGAATTAATTTCAATAACTCTACTCTTTTTTATTTTTTTCACTTGGCATTTTATGTCTCCGCTAAAAGCAACTCTAATTTAACAACCTTGTCAGCTTTTTATTCTAAAACCTCACTCACACTCCAAAGTATTATAATGATGAATATGTAGACAAAAGCTATAAGCATGCCAGAAAACATCTTCACAGAGATATTTTATTTCAACATCGCTGTTGTTATTTTAATGGGTTTTTATTATTTTTAACAGCAAAAAAAAAATCTCTGCCTTTGATAATCCAACTGCGTTGTTTCCTGTTAGCACCAAATATCAGCAGATTGAGCATCTGATCCAAGAAAAACTATAAAAAGTTTCCAGATCTGGGGGCAGATGGAGTAAAAACAGATGGATATGGTCAGTGTCCGTGAGGTGAAATAGAGTCGGCTGTCATCCTAGCCTGATATGCTTTTCAAACTAAACAAAGTACGGTTAATTCAGGGTAGTGGGCCGTTTTATTATCATAAGAAGAAGGCTCTGACAAGGCTTCATTCAATGACAGATTTTACTGCAGTGCTGTAGAGCACAACTGCATTTACTGTTTCACCTTGAAAGTGATCGCCTTCCTTCAATACTTCATCTTACATAGTCTGCAGCACATGTCCTTATAAAACAAGTTTAACTGAAGATGAATCAGTTCAAAGCACAAGTAAGAAAGATAAGGCAATAAAGTGTATAGATTGTTAGAATGTCACACATAAATAAAAGAAATCTTATTGAATAAAAAAAATCTTTTTTTCCCCTTATGTTCCTCAGGGAGCCGTGTTCAGTGTGTGACGTAACCTCCACTGAGATTTCATGTTTGATAAGGTGACTCTGAGATGTGTTTGTTGTGATGTGTGAAGTGGAAGTGAGCTTGCAGCGGTGCGTGAGAGCTCTGACCAACATCAATGGCAGGTGATTATTTCACTGTCAGGTCTAATGGGACTAATTATAGTTTTCATCAGTTCAGCATCATGGCAGCCTCCTTCTAAAATAATCCATTGACTTCTGCTTTGGCTCACGCTCCTTCAGAAGCCACAGCTTCGGTTCTGTTTTTAAGACAGATGGTTGATTTTAGATCCATTAATAAAACGCTCTTTGGCGATGATAATTAATTTCTTAAAATCTGGAGGCTTTTTCAAGATCTTTTTGGATCATCAAAACTTGATAAAACTGTTGTCTCCCTTAATTCCTCTTTTTTCTTTTTTTTTAACCTTTCCTTCTTTTTGCTTTTGGCTGAGCCATTTTCTCTCCCCTTCATTTTTTTTCTCACATTCTTTTTTTTCTTACCTCCTTTTAGCTCAGCCATGTCCTCTGAATCTAGAAGTTTACCTGCAAATTGTAGTGGTCACACTCGTACACAGGCAATGCTTTAATTTTTTTTATTATTCTATAATTTATTATTATTATTGTTATTATTATTATTATTATTATTATTATTATTATTATTATTATTATTATTATTATTATTATTATTATTAT